ATAGCAAAAATTGGGGTGTCTTCTGCAATATCATTGGGGCTGAACCTATGCCTGCACTACCTGGTCCAGTAGCAGGCAGATTGGGTTTAAGTCTCCAAGTTCTACTTTGAAGATTATCCCACAGAAAAATAAGCTAGAAGATTAAAGTAATAGTTTAATCATTATTGCTTTTCTCCTAGACTGGTTGCCAATTATGGCTAGAGATCCCACTTGATCCTGCTGTTTAACCCATAGAAGAGATGGGTTCATACCTTTCTCAAGGGTATCCCCACCACAGTATTCCCAAGAATAGTGATTTGCCCCCTTTACTTGTTTAGGAATGGGTTTCTGGTTTCTTCTATAGTCTACTTCAACTCTATACACCTAATGTTTGTCATTTCTTACCCTAATACAACGTCATCTACCTTGAGTGGTTCTTCAGTATTTGGTGAACATTAGTAAAAAAAAAAAAAAAAAAAAAATATAAATGAATCTAACAAACTTAACTGGAATTTGAAACCAGCACTTCGATTTTTACATTTTTAATCACTATCCACCATGGTTGTTTGATTTAAATCAAATGATTTTTTAAAAAATCACTGATTTAAATCAATTTTACAAAAATCTTTACTTAAAGCAAAATATTTAGAAATGAAACATTTTTTTATTTTCATGTAATTTCATGAAGGAAGAAAAGTGTTAGAAATTTTGAATCAAATATTTATTCATCAACTGAGTAATTCATTTTTCTATAAAATAAAATTTTAACCATTAACAAATTTTAAAATTCAACATGAGTAGATTTTTGCATTCATAGATTTTAATAGAAAGACCAATTTTGTTGCTTTTTTTAATTATTTCACCCCAAACAAGACAATAAAGCCACTATGACTCAAGAGGTTACTGAGTGTTAAAACTACTATAAAGGAGAGATGACTATAAAAGAACAAGAATTAAAAAGACAGAAAATAATGATTGACATTGCATTTAAATTTTTGAAGATTAAAGTTGAGTGGGAAGCAAGAAGCCAGAAAGAGTTCCACAAGTGAGAAGTGTGATTGAAGAAACTGTTAGCATAGAACTTATGGTTCCATCTAGTGATTTCAACTGTAAAATGATGAGACTTTGCTGCCAATCTAGTACTGTATTTAAATTCATAAAGTCTAGGTGCTAGTTCACCTGAACAATTACTATGAATGTATTTATAGAAAAGGCATAAGGAAGCTATGTTACGGTGGTGGGAAAAGTGACTGAAGCCGAGATGCCAAGTCAGGATCAATAAGAATGATAATGCTTTATCGGTACCAAGATGGTTTCTCAGTTTGGAATGCCCCCCTCTATAGGATGAGAAAACTCATTCAATGCCAGAAGATGAGTTAACAGGAGCTGCTTAGTGCCACAAAGTACCGAGTGCAGTGGGTAAATTGTCGCCATTTTATATTTTTAATTCCATGCATAATATGTCGTTTGTTTTTGATTTGTCAATTGCACAGTATAAGTAGGGTTAGTTGGGCAGCATCTGTGAGAAAAAGAGCACCATGACAAAATTCACTCTACCAAAATTCACTCTACCAAAAATTTGGAAACAGCATACTGTACTGCTTGGTATTCATGCTGGAAACTCCAATACAAACATTTCAGAGTGTTTGTGTGTCAATCTGAACACAGTGCAGAGGATTTGGAAAGAGTTGGATGAATCTAATGGTGATTATGAAGGTGTTTGGAATGATTACTAGTGACGGCGAAGTTATGCCTTTATTCATCTTCCCACGAGGCATCAGATTCAACATGGAGGCCCACATCAAGCACCTTAAGGAGGTAGTGCTGTCCTGGGTCAAGAGGGTGGCTGCTGGAAACCCTATGTCTGGCAACAGGATTCTGCACTATGCCACACAAGCAGTCATGGCTGTCAAACAATTTCTGTGACTACATCAAGCCTTACATCTGGCCACCTATCTCCCCAGACTGCAACCCCCTTGATTAATATGTGCGGTGCAGTTGAGCGAGAGATCAACAAATCACCAAAGATGAACAGAAGGCAAGGATTATGGCAGTATTCATCAACTTAAACAAGGAGACCGTCCAGAAGAGTTGCAGGAGATTCTGAAGTCGTTTGGAGGCTGCGGTTGAAGCCAATTTCAATTTTATTGAATAAATTTACTCTTTAGTATTTCAAAATATTTTTTCGTGATTTTGGTAAATATATCTGTTAAAATGAGATGTCAGTGTTTTTTTCATTTTTGCGTTAATTGGATGACAATTTATCCATCGCACCCTGTATTTCACTGTATTTTTAACACACTTGCATGTGAATCCCACTATTCAATAGCAGAGACCATTCTTGCTTATGAAGTCTGCAAATTGAAATTGGTGGGAAGTGGGGAGACCTTGCTTGCAACTTCATAATAGGAACAAGTATGGGATATTTCTCACTGGTATATTGCATTGCAATATTAAATTCCTCCTTGTTTAATGATTTTCATTGAAGATAAGTATGAGGGCTTATCCTAATCTCTCTTTTAATCTCTCAAGCTATTTGTACCAGCCTTGCTCTTTCTTTTGCCTGCTTTATGTGCAAAAATGAAACAAAAATATGATTTAAATAAATGAAGATGCCAGGAAGAGCCAACAAACCAATACTTCTGGCTCTGCTATTGCTGAGCATGTAATAAATAGTAGGAAATGTGTGGTTAATTTTAGTGTGGACTGTTTTTTGATTTTATCTAGGTCCCACTCCACATTTCACCTCAAGGTTCTAGAGTCCTTGTATATAAGATCTCAGCGGCCTTCCCTTGGTAAACAGAGGGAATGCTTACTGGGTCTGAATGTTATTGGACTCTAGCTTTCTTGAAATTCATTTTTTTTTTATTCCATTCCATTCCATTCATTAATTTAATTTAACACGCTTTTATATTTTTTATTCCCAGAAAGATAAACTTGATAATTCCTGGGACGAAACTGGTTGATTTTTTTTTTTAGCTTTTTAAAAAATGCCTTGTAAATTTTGCCTTTTCCTAGCTATTATTTAAATAAATGTTTTGTGAATTTCTTGATATAGTAATTGTTAGCTCAGTTCCTGGGTCAGGCATTGCTGACTTAAATCAGTGAAAACAGGGAAAGCAGTAACTTTGTTATCATTGGCAAAAATCATTGCCAAGTGTTGACATCCTCATTGACATTTCATTCTGTGCAAAATGAGTCCTATCTGAAGATATGTCTACAGCCATCATAGTGTAGGAAAGTTCAAGGGATAGGGAGCTCTGTCTTTTCTTTGGGCTCCTCTTCGTCTCTTCTATTTGCCTACTGGATTGTTATTCGCCACTTGATTATTTCTGCAGTTTTCGTTTCCCAATTGATCAGATTGATTTCAGTCCTCAGCAAGGTTTTTTTTAGCTAATCTTTGAATTGATGATTGAGCAGAATGAAAGAACTAAATAATATATCCCTGGACATGATTAATGAAATAAGAACAAGTTCTAGACTCAGGGTTGTCCCATGCAAGAGTAGCCTAGTGTATTAAAATGTTGGCTTGTGAATTTGTTGACGTAATAATTGTGAGTTCACTCCCTAGGTAGGGTAGTGCAGAAATAAATAAGAAACAAGATGAGATATCCCTAGACATTGGTAATGGAATGAGAACAATTTACCATCATAGATTTAATAAAGGGTCCAGTTAAGAATTCCCTGAAGGTTACATGCACCTGATGTAGATATAGAGCAGGGCCAGTGCCAGGATATCCTGCCCCACCAAATCTATGATACCCCCAATATATGACACAAGCCTCCCCATTCTACTACGTCTCAATTTTCATAAGGTACTATTCATATAAAATACAAATTTTATTGTAACCTAATTATGTACAATAATGGCTCATATACAATATAGGTGAACAATTCAACTAGAAAAATTGAAAATAAATACAATGCATCTAAATACAAGTTACAGACATGTCACAATAGGTCATTCCATTTTAAATAAATCAACAATGCTTTTGCGGCAATTGTTAACATCAACTGGAAATTTAAAAATTGCTACACAATTACAATTAAGTTTCAACACTACAAATGTGTCTCCTCAGGCAATAGTTAGCTACTGGTGAATACTTCAGTAGTTTAACATCAACCGAGGAGACACATTTGTAGTGTTGAAACTTAATTGTAATTGTGTAGCAGTTTTTAACATGTTTTTGTTCTAATATCCTAAAATAAATAATATTTAACTCTTCTCAGTATTGAGTCCACTTTTAAAATGTTATGTACAGTGGAGTTATACTGTATTTGGTCTCATTTTACCTGGGGATATATATATATATATATATATATATATATATATATATATATATATATATATATATATATAAGGTGTTCATCTGACCAACCATCTTAAGTAAACCAACAATGTTTTGTGGCAATTTTTAACATCAACTTGAGATTTTTCTTCTTAAAAAGTCAAATAATTTTAACACATTAAACATTATGTTTAAAAAAGTGAATTTTATATAATGTTTTTTTTTTAGACTTAGCAGGAGCAAAACAGATTCACAGATTTGGACAGCAAAAAACCCAGAATAACGTCAAAATCTGCCAAAATTTTACAACCTTTAGTAGACATTTGTGTTTAGTTTAATTTGTAACATATGAATGTAGGTCACAAAAAGCAAATGTTGATAAGACAGTGAGGGTCACAAAGGACTTTTCAAGGCCCCCCAATTAGGACCTCCCCAACAAATTGGAGGGTTCAGGATAGCATGCATCGGCTCTGAGCCATAGGGCATAATGACTGAAATGTTAATGAATTTCTTTCAGTAACAAATTATTTATTGTGTGTAAATGTTTCATTCATGTGTTGAATATGAAGAAAATTGTAAAAAAAAATGAATTTTCTCCCCATTTTCTTATATATGAAGTTCTCTTTTGCCAGGCAATGCTGGGTATGCTTTCTTGTAGTGTAACATTACATATAAATAATATCAGGTGGAGGGTATATTAAATTTGAGTTGCTTGGTAAACAAAATGCTTGCTTAGCAAAATGTTATAGACAACAAAAACTTGAATTGGATGTAGATAGAAAGAAAAAAGAGAGAGAGAGAGAGGGTAGAGGAGAGATAATAAAAGAGGGTATAGATATAAATGGAATGAAATAGAGAGTGTGAGAATGGATCAAGAGAGTGAGTAAGAGAGAGCGCAAGAGAATGAAAGTGGATGGAGATATCAAGGAAATAGAATAGAGAGTGATATAATGAAAGAAGAGAGAGAGAAAAGAGGAGAGAGAATAAAAGTAGATAAAATATAAAAAGAGTGGAATAAAGAGTAATAGTAAGAAGGGAGAGGGAGAGATAAAGAATAGAAATGAATAGAGACATAAACTGAGTAGAATAGAGATAGAATGAAAAAAGGAGAGAGTGAGCTAGGGAGAGATTAAAAGTAGATATAGAGGGTGATAGAGAGTAATTGTAAGATAGAAGATTGAGAAAGTGGGTGAGAGAATAGAAGTGGATAGAGATATAAAGAGAATAGAATAGAGAGTAATAGAATGAAAAAAGGGGAGGGTGAGTTGGAGAGAGATTAAAAGTAGATATAGAGGGTGATAGAGTGTAACTGTAAGAAAGAAAGAGAAAATGGGTGAGAAAATAGAAATGGATAGAGATATAAAGTGAGTAGAATAGAGAGTGACAGAATGAAAAAAAGAAAGCAAGGTGAAGCAGAGAAAAAGTGGTTGAACAAAAAATTTGGGGTGAGTGGATAACCAGTGCCAAGAAAAAATATCTCCTCCTTAAATTTTTTTCCTCTCCTTCTACAATATTTCTTCCTCCTGATTTGACTGATCCCATTGTTTGTTCAAATGTGGAAAATTCACTTGATCCAAATTGGATTATAATCTCTGATCCATGTTTTAGTTTGACTGATAGAAATCTGTCAGGCTAAAATTCCTGCAGGACTAGCATGATATTTTTCCAGGAATAACTTCATCATTCTCATGATTAGCAATTTAATTGCAGGGATTAGAATTTGCCCACCGAACCACCATACACCTAGGCAATTCCTCAAACTCTGAATTCAAGTTCCAGATTAGTTCATGAATGAAATGATGTTCACATGTAAATGGCACAAACTTTTAGAGGATTTTCATGAAAGAGATCAATAGTCTGAAGAACTCTTGGAATGATAATGACTCTTTTCAAAATGATAGAAGGTATCTTAAACAAAATGAATGATATCAATAGTCTGAAGAACTCTTGCAATGATAATGACTCTTCTCAAAATGATAGAAGGTATCTTAAACAAAAAGAATGAGATCAATAATCTGAACAACTCTTGCAATGATAATGACTCTTCTCAAAATGATAGAAGGTATCTTAAACAAAAAGAATGAGATCAATAGTCTGAAGAATTCTTGCAATGATAATGACTCTTCTCAAAATGATAGAAGGTATCTTAAACAAAAAGAATGAGATCAATAGTCTGAACTACTCTTGGAATGATAATGACTTTTCAAAATGATAGAAGGTATCTTAAACAAAAAGAATTAGATCAATAGTCTGAACAACTCTTGGAATGATAATGACTTTTCAAAATGATAAAAGGTATCTTAAACAAAAAGAATGAGATCAATAGTCTGAACAATTCTTGGAATATTGCATATTGCTTCATCTAAACTGTCATATTCATATTTTTTATATTGGTATTTTGGCTGATGTCTTCTCCAGCCTTTTTCAAGTGTATACTGTAATTTTAATGTAAAAAATTAATTGCTGCTTTAGCTCAATATGTTTTTCCCTTCCAGGTACCTCATGACTTTTGAATCCTCATGTGTCTCCCTCGGAACTGACCTTTCTCCACAAATATCCTTCCCCCACAGAGTCTCTGTATGCCTGACCTGTTTGCTGAATTAATGTTCCTTCAAGGATTCAGATTTTTTATCAGCGCTCACATTATTTAGGTCATTCAAAGAAAATCTCCTGGAATGTTAATTCCTCCATCAATTCCATATCTTTTCACTCTACCATCAATTCATGCATATTATAAAGAATAAAAATAATGCTTTTCTGTCAGCAATTATGTTTTTTTTTTAAATTTTCTGTTTCACTTTGTATTGGCCACAAAACTGCAAATTCATTATTGCAGCTTAATTATCCTTTTTTAGGAAATGGCTGAATTGTTAAAGCATGTGTGACTAAAATGGAAGTTTCCTACTTTAAAGGAATGCAAATGTTATATTCCTTTTAATAAGACTTTCGATCTGTATGATGGTAGACATTAATTTCACTGCTTGAAAAAATAAATCATGAGGGTTACTAATATATATACGCATTAAGATAATGTTTATAGTAATAAGCAATAATGTCATATTAAAAAAATGTATCAGTCTCATATATATATATATATATATATATATATATATATATGTGTGTGTGTGTATATATATATATATATATATATATGTATGTGTGTTTTTTATTAAATATGAACTTAATAAAATGAATGAAATCTTCCTTGTCTGCCATATTTAATGAAAGATATTTTGAAAGAAAGGTTGCTGGCCAAAGATATATTAATATATATATATATATATATATATATATATATATATATATATATATATATCGGTGGTGAGCCGAGTTCAGATTCCAGTCGAATTCATTACATTCACTTATGTGCTAATACCCTTGGGAAAGGTGTGAATCCTCTTCTCCCTCCAGCTATGGGTAAATAGCAGGGCAGACTGGGTTCTATAGCCTTGGATGGCAACTGGTCTAGGAGAAGGACAACTCTGAATTCAAAACCTGCAGAGCGTTGTTTGGGGACCCTGTGGCACGTAGTGCACCAGGTCTCTGTATTCACTCCTTCAAAAAGTGTGGATGGTCCGGCACGAAATCTTCACCACTATAATCAAATCTCATGTGCTGTTGTTGGGGTGTCAGTTTCCTAGGAATTGATCTGCTTGACCTTCATACGTCAAATCGATGGGAGAGTCGAGTATATATATATATATATATATATATATATAGATGTACATATAAATATATATATATATATAGAGAGAGAGAGAGAGTTATACATATATATAATAATATAAATGTACGTATTTATATGTATACACATGCATGCACACACACACACACACACACACACACACACACACACACACACACACATATAATAATAACTGGTCACTTGTATTCAAGGATACCTGTCTACTAGAGCTGCTAGCCATCCCTATTGCAGACGTTTGCTCAAGCACAGTTGTGTTTATTCACCACCTACAGAGCCCACCTGTGGTTTATACTGCAACTATGCTGAGCAGACCTTAGTTACAGCTTGTGGGAAAGAGTGTTATCTAGCATGATCCACAATTTGAACAAGGCCAACACACTAAAACCCTCGGCCATAATGACTTGTGGCTTTGTGCTAACAAAGCTATTGATGTCCTTCAAGAGTTCTGTCTACCCAATTTTACTCACAAGGCTTTGGTTAATCCGTGGTATAGTTTTCAGGCATTTTCCAAAGGTGCTTTAAGCTGGGATCACTCCCTCCAGGCTGCTAACATCAGGAAGTCTACTTCCTGACAAATCACTGACATGGTGAGATTTGAACCCAGGTCTGATGGTCGTCTCTGCCTCATCCTGTACATATATACATTGAAAATTCATCACAATTTTATATATATATATATATATATATATATATATATATCTCCAAGTAAGATGAGAATGAATAAGGTACAATTCCAATGTTCATAACATTTAATTCAAAAGCAGAGCAATATTATTTATTTGAGGATATTACACGTAAAACATGTAAGTTGGAATTTAACGTAGGTCATATTAGATTGGTTGCTAAGAGTAAAGCCCACAAACCTTAGAAACCCCTTTTTTCTTTTTTTTTTCGTAAAAAGAGTTTGTATTTTGCTTTTAAATATAAATAAATCATTCACTCCACTCACCAGTAATTTGTAATCGCGTGAAGAGTTGCATTGGTAGGCATCGCAACACAACTACAGTTGTGTAGTGATGTTTTTGGTCTAATATCCTAATATATATATGTTTATATGTTCTTTTTATAGGTAGAAATATTTAAGTAAATGCTCTGTTTATAATAAACAGTATTAACAACATTTACCGGCCTGAATGTCGGAGAAATTTTCATAGAAAATATGCATTATTTGAAAAAAGAACGTATAAAAACATATGCATTATTTGAAAAAAGAACGTATAAACATAAAAAATGTCTTAAATAATTGTCAGACTTTGTCCATTTCATATATATATATATATATATATATATATATATATATATATATATATATATATATATATATATATATATATATATATTAGAATTAAAGAGGGTCAATACAAAGTAGAGCAATATTACACTGAAAACATGCCAAAAATCGTTACACTATTGCAATTGCATTTTGATTCATATCAATGCATCTCATCAGGCAATTGTAAATTACTGGCAAATGAATGATTTATTTAGATTTAAAAGCAAAATAATACAAACACTTTTTACAAAAAAGGACAAAAATGGGGTGTTATAAGTTTTGTGGGCCTTACTCTAATCAACCTTATAACTTTTCCTTTTGTAAAAGAAGTATATATATATATATATATATATATATATATATATATATATATATATATATATAAATCAATTAAAGGAAGAGAGAAAATTGCTGTGTTGATGCATGTTATTTTATTCCAAGTACTATTGACATATTTCAAGACAAATATTGTAGTCTTCATCATTTTCAAAGACAAAATTGCTGCGTTCATCTGAAAGTTAAATTTTTTGCTTGTGAAGTGAAGAGAAGAGAAGGTAACTAATATGCTGTGTCGAGAGTTTTTAAGAACTACAATATCTGTCTTGAAATAAACAACACCCTGATGATGACATTGTGCTATATCAAAAGTACTTGGAATAAAATAGCATGTATCAACATAGCAATTTTCTGTCTTTTTAATAACGACACCAAAAAGCTTGTCTGTGAATATGAAAGGAATCATTTAAAAATAAGTAGACAAAACTTGTCTAAATTATTCAATGAAACATCTCTCACATATATATATATATATATATATATATATATATATATATATATATATATATATATATATATATATATATATATATATATATATATATATATATATATATATATATATATGTATATATATATATATATATATATATATAGATAGAAATGTAAAGGGAGACTGAAAACAGCCATGCCTAAATGGTATAGATAACAAAAAAAATGCTCAATATAAAGTTCAAAATCAAATATGTGGAGCTAAGATAATTAAGAAAAGGTTAAAATGCCAACCAATCTTGCAACTCAGGTTTCGACCATAAGGCCTCCTCAGGCAAGTGGAAGGATGTACAAGCCAAAGAAAACTACAGTCTTTCCACTTCATGTCAGCTGAGAACATGAGCCTGAGAAAGCACAATGAGTTGCTTTCTTGGAGGTTAGCATCAGCCATACTGATGAAAGGCAGAGAACGGTCTTTCAGATGATTAATGGAGAGAAGTTTAGTTTTGGAGACATTAAAATTAACAAGCCATATTTTGCCCCAGTTAACAACAGACTTGAGTTTGTTTTGGACATTGGCTGCCATTTTGACCTTGTTGGATGGATCAGCCTTATTATTGATGACAGATGTAAACGGTAGTGTCATCAGCATAGATACCAAGCTGATGTAATCAGGAAGGTCATTAATGAAAATTAAAAACAGGATATGACCAAGGATTGTAAAAGAAATCTAAAGATAATTGAGTCATTTTATATCACGAGGTTTAAGCCTAGTCTGTATCTTACCTTATTTGA